AGAGAGAGAGAGAGAGAGAGAGAGAGAGAGAGAGAGAGAGAGAGAGAGAGAGAGAGAGAGAGAGAGAGAGAGTAAAAAGACTTTTGGAGAGAGAACGAAAGAAAGAAGGAAGGACAGAGAGAAAGAGACAGAGGAGGGTCTAGACTTACAGGAACTACTCTCACTATCGCTGGTGCCAGAGGTTACCAGCTCTGGAAGGACAAGACAGGTCAGAGTCAGCAACACACACACATACAAACACACAGATACAGACACACACGCACACACACAAACTTGCAAAGTTTCAATGTCAAACAACCAACGACACACCTTCACTTATAACAGAAACCATCCGCCACATGATATCATTCTATCCATCCATTTTCTATATTTGCTTATCCTGTTGGGGTGAGCAGCAGGCCGGAGCCTATACCAGCATTATACAATCTCTAGCAAATTCTACAGGGCATAGCCAAAAGTATGTAGACACCTGAAAATAACAGCTTCCAAAAGACAACACAGTTAAATGTAGCTACCTTTAAATTTTCAGCTTACTCACATTAATAACGGTAAAGCAGAGTCAAGAGAATTCCTCTGAAATACAGCCCATTTGGGCTTGAAATATTATTTTCCTAAAATAAATAAAGGAGAAATTTTGAAGGGGTACTTCACTGATTTCCTATTAAACTGAGTTTGGGGACTTGTGAGAGAAAACAGTATGGTCAAAATCAAAGCAGCACCGGTACCATCATGTATCTAAATACGATCTCTCATTAGACCTCTTGCCTCCTACATTCCCACAAGCTTCAACTGCGTAAGGCAAGACATGGCAGCTGCCTTACCCTGGTATCACGTTTAAAAATAAATAAATAAATAACATAAAATAAGAAACTAATTTCATTGTAAAGTGGGTAAATTAAGACACATAGCCTATTACAAGTTTTGAGTGTTTGAATGTGTGTGTGTGGTTGTGATCACATTATGCATTAGTTACGGTCATTGTGTGCATGTATTAGTACAATCACACTATTGCTGACTATTTGTCTATAGACCTCTGATAGGTTGATAATAGTGAATATAAGTGTCAGTGAATAATGTTGTTGATTCCACGTAATTTATGAAGTTGTGTGATGGAAAAAATCTTCCCAGCTGCCTTAGATAAGTACCCAACAGCCTATACTAATGATGTCTGCGAGTTTTTTTTCCTCTTCTTTAACCAATTAATTCAAATGTAGTCGGGTCCCATACTTTAAAATTGTAATTAATTTGTTTATTTTGTGCCAAATTAGCCTTAGGTTCTGCTATGGTTTAAACACCCCTTAGTTGCCTACAAAAAAATAAGCACCCAATTCAATGCATTTCTAATGATAATAACATCTCCGTTCTCTGTCCGTGGTGCTGGAATATGTGCAAGAAAAGATACGAACAAAGGTGTTTTCACTACTCTCTCTAACTCTCACATTACATGCAAACATTTTGCATTGTGGATATCAGAGAGAGCTATTTGGGTGTTTAAAACATTCTTCAGTAGCACCATAATTCCATGAGGTAATGCGACATTGCCATACCTTGACTTTTGTTGAACCAACGCCCATGTAAATGCCTACTTATATAAACTCCACACCTCCAGTTGCTAATACAGGACTTTTACATAACAGAGTATTTTTAAACTATGGTATTATAACTTTACTTGCCTTATGGATTCAAATAATGTTACTGTCCATTTCAAAACCCCTGTTTTCTCACTCTGGAAGTGAAAGGTACAGTAGCGTCTAAGCTGGTTACATATACTGACCAGCAGGTGTCACTGATGGAGAGAATACCTACCTTTATCATCCTGATCCTGCAGAGAGAAAGAGAAAGACAGACCATTATTCATACTGGAGATGATCATAACAGTATCTTGGCTTACCAGCAGGAGCCCCAACCTTTTGTCCCCATAAGGAATGCAAGTGTAAACAGATTTATGTCCCCACAACATGAGTAATACATGTACACACACACACACACACACACACACACACACACACAGTTTGAGTACGCAAGACTAATTTTTTTTTAAATACATTTTTTAGCCTTTATTTCATAGGACAGACACGTGTGAAAGGGGAGTGACATGCAGCAAAGGGCCACAGGCTGGAGTCGAACCCGGGCTGCTGCGGCAACAGCCTTGTACATGGGACACCTGCTCTACCACTAAGCCACCGACGCCACACGCAAGACTAATTTGCAGTCTTTTTCAAAGCATGAAGCCAGGGGATACAGTATGTGTGTGTGTTTGTGTGAACATTTTTAATTATCAGCTCTTCACTGTGCAGACTTGCTGATTGCCGACTTGCTGATTCACACAGTGTGAGGGAAAACAGAGAGCGAGCTGACAACACAGTGATATCAATAGCTTGTGTTAGACTCGTGTGTCAGCCCTCATCATCACGCTGTGTGAAGTGTGATTAAAGTCTCGTCGTGGTCTCGCCTGTGAACTCAGACTGCAAACTTTCTAAATCACAAATATCAAACTACGAAGCTAGTTTGTGTACTTTTAATTAGCCTCTAATTGATAACCTGTCTACGCTTTTCCTATTAACAGGTGTTCTGGCTGTCACTGACAAAACATATTAGGTCGACTCTTTCTTTGACTCATCAATTTTTAGTCAATTTTTTCAATATTTAGTCTCAATGACTTACACAAAGCACTCACCTACATATGAAATGTGATGTACAGTAATGTTGCCTTACCCAACTATTGAAATGTAAGTTTCTTTTAAACCTGTTAAATTAATTTTCCATTTCTTTAGTTGTTTCGTCACTTAGATAATAAATGGTAAACAGGTTTAACATTTCTGCGTGGAAGTATTGTTTCTAATCTGATTTTATTAACAGCACAAATATATACAATTGAGTGGACAGGTGGAAAAACACTTTGCTCCTCGAATAACACAAAGTCAAAACTTGTTCAGCACCTGGTCCAACAGCAACTCAACACATTGTCATTTGAGTTCACATTTGAGGACTGGAGCTCATTGGAAAGCTGTTTTTAAGAGTTTCACACTGTGTTCATGCTTTATATTGTTATGTCGCTGTTTTAGAGAATGTCTGACACACAGGGGAATAGGAGCATCTCTTATAAATAGTTTAATCTCGGCAACAACCTTTAATAATGAACCTAATGGTGGTTAGTGCATCAACACCAAGATTACATTTTTAAGTACCAAACATATATGCTTTATATAAAAACTGTTGCTACTCACCGATCTGTCCTGAGACCTTGTCACTCTGACCGTCTTTAACCTCGACCTCTCCTTCTTCTCTGCCCTGTGAGATTGAAGGACAGGGGAAAAACATTAAGTGAAATGCTGAGAGAGGACAGACGCAAACGAAATGATCTGAATTTACTTTCTGTACCCTCGGTTTGAATCGCTCGCTTTTCAGACTAAGTTTAAAAATATGTTCTTTTGCACAGGAGATGGTGTTTAGTAGGGAAACAGGGAAAGATTTCTTGTGAAGGATATTTCAGAAACAAATCAGACATCAATTATGAGACTTTCTTCCAGCATGTCAGACAGTATTTATTACTTCATTGCATTTAGTGAGATACAGCCTAAGAAATAGTAATTGTTCAGGGTGAAATAATGAAGCTTTAACCAAAAGAATGTGAACTCTATTTGATCTCCTCTCATGTCTGGGAGATCAAACCTGTTATCACAGTATCATCATCTTCAAACTACCCTGAAACTGTAGAATCACTTTAATATCACACTCAGATCTTTTCACATTTAGAACTTACACAATGAATGCATTCATTTTTTAAAAAGTTAGTTTGGTAGATTACTATATTTCATGTATTTTTGGATGTATCTTGTTTGTGCAGCACTATGAGATTATGGGATTTTTGAATAGTAGTGAGCAGATTGAATTGTGTTGACTTTAACATCCAGGTATTATGTAACTTGATAGTAAAAAGAAGATAGCTTCATGTGCACTGATCTGAAAGTGATTACCTTATAACAAATACAAAAGGATAAGAGTAAGACAAAACCAAAATACTTCAGTTTCGGGGAAGAAAAGACACACTCTCCTCACAGAGGTTCTGCTTGCTGAGACACTTTTTTCTGCTTAGTTTAAATTTAGATTTGTCACTTCCTGTGCAGGACCATTTCCTGCTGGTGATCACATTCAACACTAGAATTTCAAATAAGGTGAACCTCCAGTGTCTCAGCTCAGGGACCTGTTTCTCTGTTGAAGCCTCATTTTTATAATTTAGGCTGAAGAGCCAGATGTGTTTTTATACAACATCTTGAATAATGCAGCTTTTACCCTCCTAATGTCTGTAAACAGCCAAAGAACCGTCATCGAAAACAGACCAGCAGCATCGAGGTCCTCAGCAGAAATTATAATAACAACTAAAGGAACAATGTTATACCGCAGGCTTTTCTTCGGTTTTAATCCTTGATGACAGCTCGGCTCTGAAAGGCCTTAACACCCAACAATAACTTCATGTGAGCATGTATACATTAGTACATTGGCACATGAGCTGTGTTTCTGTAGTCTCCTCCTCTCTCTCCTCTTTTTTTATTCCTTCAAATAACATGATTACAATGTGATTTTACAGCAAAACTCAGTGGGTATTACTTGAGAAGGACAGGAGAGGGGAGGGGAGGGGAGGTGAGGTGAGCGGAGGAGAGGAAAGAAGGAAGAGGTGGGAAGGAGAGTACGAGGAGCAGGTGAGTGAGAAAGAAAAGAAGGGAAAGGACAAGAAAAAGGGGGAGAAGGAAGATTAGTAGAAGAAGAAGAAGATGGGGGAGAAGGCAGTAGAGGAGGGCAGAGGGGGAGGAGAAGGAGAGGAAGAGGAGAAAAGGAGGAAAGGAATGAAGACCATGAGAGGATTAGGAGGAGGAGCAGATAGGGGAGAAGCCAACTGTGAGATGGAGAGGAGTGGGAGGAGAAAGGAGGAAGAGAGGAAGAGGGGATGAGGAGAGAAGAAAGAAGGGGAATGGGAGGATTAGAATAAGTAGAGGACAGGGGAGAAAGCAACTGTGAGACAAGAGAGGAGGCGGGGTGAGAAAGGAGGAGGAAAGAAAGAGTAGATGATGAGGAGAGGAGAAAAAGGGGGGTTAGAAGGAGGAGGGATGAGGAGAAGGCAACTGCAAAGCAAGGAGAGGAGGGGATAGGAAGAGGAGATGAAGAGAGGCAGAAGAGAGAGAGAGAGAGGAGGGATAAAAGGTGTGGGAGAGGAGGAGAGGAAGAGGAGATAAGGAGGAGAGGCAGAAGAGAGAAAGAGGAAGGAGTAAAGGTGGGGGAGAGGCAGAGAAGGAATAGAGAAGTGGTGGAGTGAGAGAGGAGGCAGAGAAACGGTGGAGAGGAGGAGGAGTAGGTGGACCAGAAAGAGTAGCAGAAGAAGAAGGCAGTGAGACTGAGGGAGAAAGGAGGAGGAGAAGATACACGGGAGGAGATTATGAGAGGAGAAAAGGGGGAGAAGGCGAGGAAGAAGGAGGACAGGAGGAGGAGGAGGAGGGCCAGACAGGACACGTATTGAGATCAGACGACAGCCCTTATCAAAAAAGCTGCTTCTTATCCTAATTAACTTCACATATTAGACCTCATATCACACCAGCCTCTAATAATCAATAATTGATCAACACTCTCCTCCCACAGCTTTCACACCTATATTATAATATTCTGTATTTAATGCTCCCTCTACTAATATCCAAACCTCTGGTGGCTGCACTCGAAAATCCTCTTTAATACTTTTCTATAATAAGTAAAGTTAGATTAGTTTTTCTCTACAACTCAGTTATTCTATTACCCCTAATGCGCCTGCCTCTAACACCCAGCCTCTATTCTAACACCTGCAACTATTAATACCCCACCATCTAAACCTGTGTGACAATCTCTACATCCATCCATCCATCCATCCTATGTTTCATTTGCTCACTCCCACTCATCCTTACAGCCCTAATCCCTCTTTCACTCATTCACTGTCATCTTACACTCCCTCACTTCCCACACCACTCCATCCTCATCACCTCTCTCGCTCTGTCAGAGATGGTAACAAGACTTCTATATTGTCTCCCCTTCCCACCTCGGAAACCTATCAACATCTGTCTGCCACCTCCTCCGCTGGGAGACAAAGAGGAGGCGAGAGGAAGGAGTTTGGCCTACAGGTTTACATTCAGCAGATTCTACATAATGATGATGTTTGCAGTGTTATGAGCCAGCAGCAAAATGACACACCGACGTAAGCTGAAACCAATCTGAAACTCTCCACTGCTGATAGCTGTGCTGGACTGGAAAAAGAGGAGCAGAGGGAGGGCAGGAGGCAAGGGGAGGAGGGGCAGGTGAAACAGACAGAGAAGAAGGAGGAGGAGATGAAGAGAAGAGGAGGAAGAGAACAAAGATGACAAAACGGGAGCAGAGGAGGGAGAGGATGGAAGGAGAGGAGGAGGAGCAGGTGAAACAGGAGAAAAAGGAGATAAAGGAAGAGGAGAGAAGGTGAGAGCACAGGGGAGACAAGGAGAGAAGAAGAAAGAGGAAGAGAAGATGGGAAGAAACACAAAGAGGGGGAGAAAACAGGAAAAAAGAAGAGGGTGGGTGTGAGGGATGGAGAGGAAGAGCAGGTGAGACAGCAGTGGAGAGTGGGAGGAGAAGGAAGAGGGGACACGGACGCAAGAATAGGAGGACATGAGGTGAGTAGAGGGAGAAGAGTACAAGGAGGGAGGAAGGGAGTAGAGGAGGGGGAGGAGGGAAGGAGAGGAGGAAGGGCTGGCGAAACAGAGAGAGGAGAAGGACGAGGGGACCAGGAGGAGAGGGCAGGAGGATATGAAAGGAAGAGGAAAAGAAGAGGAGAAAAGAAGGAGAAGATAAGGAGAGGAGAGGATGAGGGAAGGAAAGGAACAGGAGCAGGTGAAACAGATGAGTAGAGGAGAAGGAAAAAGGGATGAGCAGGTGAGGACAGGTGAAGATGAGGAAAGGAGGAGATGACACATGGAGGAGAGAAAAGGTGTAGAGGAGGGAGAGGAGGGACAGGTGAAACAGAAAGGGAAAAGGAGGAGGAGATCAGGAGATAAGGAGGAGAGGACAGGAGGAAACAAGAAGAGTATAAAGAGGAAAAAAAAGGAGAAAAGGAGAAGAGAAAATTATGAGGGGAGAGGATGGGGATGAGGGAAGGAGAGTAAGAGGCGCTGGTGAAACCACTGAAGAGAGGAGAAGGAAGAAGGGACGAGGAGGCAAGGACAGGTGAAGATGAGAAGAAGAGAAAAAAAGATGAAGGAGAGTACAAGGAGAAGAGAAAGGGAGTAGAGGGGCAGGTAAAATGAAGAGAAGGTCAAGAAGGAAGATGATGAGGAGAGGACAGGGAGATACGAGAAGAGAGAACAAGGAGAGGAAAAAGGGGACGAGGAGGCAAGAACAGGAGAAGACAAAAAGAAGAGAGGGAGAAGAATGTAACGAGGAGTGAAGAGTAGAGATGGGTCAGGAGGAGCAGGTGAAACAGAAAGAGGAAGAGAAAAAGGAAGACTAGACAAGGAGGAAAGACAGGAAGAGATGAGGAGAAGTAGAGAAAGTGAAGGAGCAGAAAAATTGGGAGTGGATGAGGATGAGAGGAGGGGAGTAGGGGAGAGGAGGTGAAGAAAGGGACACAAGGAGGAGAGAAGGAGGAAAAGGATGAAAAGGGAAAGATTAACTGGAGGAGATGAAGAGCAACTCGTGTAAAATGAATCATGTGACTATAGAGAATGTACAGCACTGATGTTTGGCATTGAGGCTCTGACCTTGTTGATCCCTCACTGAGCTCAGGACGGCAGGAAGTGAGGAAGAAGGATAGTAAACTGCCCTACAAGTGGGTTCTAGGGTGGAGGTGGCGCTACTTAATAAACTTTATGAAGAGCAGCAGCAGCAGTAGCGGTGAGTGACAGTAAGCAGCGCCATGACAGCCTCAGTCATGATTAACAGGTACAGCAGGTAAACTCTTTGATGCAGTGAGAGGAGTCAGGCTGGAGTCGACTGACTGAACTAGCTTCACAGACTCCAATCAATAAAATGAGCTGCCCACTCCCGACCCAAACCCTTTGAAGTCTGACCTCCTGCGGCTGGGGATGACTCCGACTTCAGGGCAGTTTGGAGGCGGGGGGCTGAGGTGACGGGCGGGCCACCATTCCTCTTCGCTGGCGCTGCTAACATGCAGGACATCCCCGAAATGAAATGGCAGGGCCTGATTGGGCGCGCTCAGATCTGACGCACTTCCATCGTAGTCAAACAACGCTCTGCAGACGGACAGAGAAAAGAAACAATTTCATTTTACAAACATTTAGTTAAAAACACAATTACAGTGTTATATTACGATCTGCTAGAGGAGACAGAATCAGACTGATGAGTCATTCATTTAGTGACACGGATGATTAAATGCTTCTTATTTTGCATTCTCTTAAATATGAAATTAACACACATTTTGCAGTTAGAAATAATAAAATATTCTCCCTAAAATTTGTTCTTCATTCCAATTTAGAAAAAAAATACTTTTGACAAGAGCTCGGCATCCACACAACAAACACACTAAACTGACAAAACAAGACAATGAGACAGACAGACAGACATGTTGTAGTAAATAAGAGCCAAAACAGCTGAGGACTGCTTTTCTCCACTATTCATTTATGACCTTGTCTGTGCCTGCCTGTGTGTGTGTGTGTGTGTGTGTGTGTGTGTGCAATCGTACACATCTGTCTGCATGCATGTCAGTCTATTTGTGTGTGTATGTTGTGTGTGTGTCTGAACGGTGACCACAGAGTTCCAAATCCGTCCAGAGGGAAAAGACCTGGGAAAGTAGGCCAGCAAAGTGTGTGTGTGTGTGTGTGTGTGTGTGTGTGTGTGTGTGCAAAGGAACTAGAGCTGAAATAACCGGCATCCCCTAAAGTCCCTACTGCCTTCATCAATAAAACAGAACATAGACAGTGAAGGAGAAACTGAGAGAAAATCAGACAGCGAGGTAGACGCAGAGTCTGACATCAGAACCAAAAAACAAAACCACATGTTTTATTGATGTTAGATTTAAGATGATAAAACAAAGACTTCCACACACAGCATTATATATTTAGCTGGCTGCTAAAATGTTACTTTCAAAGTGGTGGAAACTCATCTGACGTATTTGCATGTAGCACCAGGACCACCATGGCAACATTTATTTTACAGGGATATTGTTTCCTATAGTTTCTTTAAAGATTGCTGGAAAAAATGTGTTTGGAACTAATTACATGGAAATAATAGCAACAAGTTCTCAAAATTTCACAACAAAATATGATGTTTGTTTATCTGTGCCTTTCAAAACCGTCACACATCACTGTTGAATGTGACACCACTGTGGTTAAGATTTGGTTTGGACAGAAAAACAACTTGGTATTGGGTTAGGGTAAGATTGTGGTTTGGGCGAAACTGAAGACTTCCCAGAGGTTTGGGGAGCTTTGTTGTCATGGTAACAATAAAAACCTTGTAGTCAAGGTTATGGAATGATTGTGGTCTTGCTTGCTTAAAAACAACACTGACCATTGGTTGGAAACAGGAAACAAACAGTGGTTTCCATGAAGTCCTGTGTTTTGTTTACCCATCTATCAACTCTGAACTCCTCCCTACACAGACTTCCCTCTATACATCATGTGTTTTAAAGCCCTCTGAAGCAAATTGTGATTTGTGTTATTGGAATTTGAATTTAAAATTAAAATTATTATTTGTACAGCCCTTTGAGACATGCTTGGTGATATTGCCAAACTTCGATTTTGTCACTTAAACGTGAACATATTCTGTTTTGGGGCACTTGCTGAAACTTGCTCAAAGTTATGAAACTGCAGACTGTACTTAAGTTAGTTGTGTTGAGTTTAAAATTGATTTTTAAGAGGAATTTCCTTGAAAGAAATGCTCTTTTTAAATCCAAGTAAATATTCATTAATCAATAATTCATCATTGGAAACTTCTTGCAAGACTCTTTACATCTGTTTAAATTGTATGTTTGCTTGTAGACACATTTTCCATGTTTAGTATCCCCGCTGTCCTCTGACAAAAAGTCTGAAGGTAATGTGAGCTAAGTCTCTATTAGTACCAAATAACCAGTACTTGGAGGGTTACTTTTGGGGTCTCGCCCCCTCCTACAGCCAGAGAGCTAAGATGCTCCGATCAAAGGTATTTATCAGTCCCGAGATCTAGGACTTAAGTGTTATGGGGACAGGAGTTTCTCTATCGCTGCCTCAAAATTGTGGAATTCTCCTCCTCCTCCCATCTGGTTCTCCCCCACCATTGAGATTTTTAAAAGTCATTTAAAAACTTAGCTGTATTCCGCCGCCTTTGATTGTGCCTAAGCCAACCACCCCAAGTTTTTAAACTGAAGTCTGTGCCTTATTTGTGCTTTTATTAATACTATTATCCTTAACAGGTTTTTATTGCACCTTATTCTAATTGTACTATTATCTTTGATTATAATATTCTTTTTCTCTTGTTTGCTCTCTTCTTTTACTTTTTGTTTTCCTCTGTGTATGATGTTGAGCCCTCTGGATCAACGGTGTTGTGTGTTAAGTGCTATATAAATAAAGTTGAGTTGAGTTGAGTAGAGTTTTGAAATGTAATAGGTTACATATTACAATTTAGGCCCCAATCACACAGAAAGCAATTTAGCAGCTGGAGGTGGCTTTCTGTAATTGTTTTTAATGAGAATTAAGCTTTTTGCTTGTGGTTTTTGTGTTGCGACACACCTGGCATTTCTACACTCTCCTGGCATTTTTGAACTCCTCCAGTTGAAAAAACTTCAACAAAGAGTGAAAGAGTGCCCCATCCATTGTCTTTTTTCTCATCTCATTTTCCCATTGTCCAATCAGATGATCTGAGAGGCGGGCCTTCTGTTAAAAATTTAATAAGTCATACAACCACTACTTAATAACTTAATCAAAGTAATGTACATTTTTATATCAGATTGCTTTCTGATTTTTTTAACAAATGTTTTAAACTTTAAACCTGAAATATGCCCAGAAATAGCCAAATAGCCAAAAAAAGAAACAGAATGAATGTTATATCAACGTTGTACCAAAAAGAATATCTTTTAATTTAACCCCTTTGTAATAACCAACATTTTAACTGGTAACTGTAATTTAATCACTTTTTTTCTCTCAGTAACTGTTACAACAATTACATTTATTTTGTAATTTACTTTAATGAATGTAACTACTATAGTTAAAACACTGCATATTACATGCATCTATCCAGGAAGCTTCTGGGAAAATTATTTGGAAATTAATTAGTGTTATCAAAATAAATCAAATCTTAATCTACAATTGTCGTGGCTTCTTAAAATTTATAAATATAATATATGAGTGAAAATGTGTAAAAGGAAAATGTATTCTGCCATGAGCTAGAATATCAAATGGTAGCAGTGGTAGCTCTACAACAGCTGCACAACTTACTGAGACATTTAGAGATGTTTCCATACCATCATAAGAAATTAAAATGATTTAAAATAGTAATGGACATCAGAGAGGGAGACGGCATGTGAAAGGTTACGGGATATATTGGACATGTGAAGTGCAGGATTGCATTTGCATTAGTGGGTCCACAAACACATGCAACAGTAAGTAAAGGGCAGCTGTCACATGTGAGTGTATAAATAACCTTATAGCAGAAAATATAGAATAAAAAACAAACTGCTCTCATTTTGAGAATTCCACACATACCAAATGATTTTGCAACAACCAGGTTACACTGATGGATGGTGTGTAGTATTATTAGGGCCGCAGCTATTTAAATGTGACTCTAAATCAATTACCTGCTCTCAGTACTACAGTCAGTTTAATTCCTATGTGGGAACTTCTAAAATGTAATTACTCAAGTGAACGAACACACAGCATGTGCTGCAGTGTGATTGTTTGAATGGGTCTTATCCCTTTGTGTGTGTTAACCTGTGGAAATATACCTGTGGTAATTTATATCATATATGTTTGCTGTGTTTGCACAACCGACAGCCAAAGTATACTGCAGTTTACCTTTGCCCTTTGAATTCATGAAGATTTATGTACAATAATGTGAAATGCTCTAAAAAGGCAGCATGTGAAAGGTTACAAGAAATACTGTAAGCATGAGGGGCAGGGCTGTATTTACATTAGTGGATGCACACATACAGTAAAGGGCAGCTGTCAGCTGAAAGCACATAAATAACTTTCCTTCGTTCATTATTTCATCAAGAAAGAAATATAACGTACAGTAAGAAAAAAAGAGTTCCGCAAATCCCAAATGGATTTTTTAACAAGCAGGTTACACCGTTGGATTTATTATTACGGCCACATGTTGGTGTGACTCTAAATCAATTACCAGCTCCCAGTATTACAGTCGCTTCAATTCCATAGTGGGAACCCCAGAAATCCAATTACCCGAGTGAAGGAACACACAGTAATTACTGCAGAGTGTAACAGGAACACCTGTTCATCTTTCACACCTTATCCCACTGAGTGCTGAGGAAATTTTCAACACTATGTTCGTTTTTTTCTGCACAGCCAGCAACCTATTGTCCAAGCGGTTTAACTTTTCACTGAATACTCATATAAGATTACTGCATACATGCACTTTAGTCCAGAGGTGAATATGCAGGGTGATTCACTGGAATAGGACTGTGTGATAGTACTGCCGAATAGCAGCAGAGGTGTGGACTTAAGTTGGGTTGACTGTGGCTCAGAGGTAGAGCGGGTCGTCCACTTATCGTTAAACCGGCAGCTAGATCCCTGGCTTCTCCAGTCTGCATGTGAAAGTATTTAATTGTAATTGTTCCCAGTGTGTGTGTTATTGGTTAGTAAGTAGCAGGTGGCAACATGTATGGTAGCCACGGCCACCAGTGTGTGACTGTGTGTGTTTGTGTGTGTGTATGGGTGAATGTGACATACAGTGTAAAAGTGCTTTGAGTGGTTGGAAGACTAGAAAAACAATTCACAAGTGCACTCCATTTTAAAATTAGTCAAATGACTTAACTCAAGTCAAAATGAGTCACAGATTCGATGACTTTAGACCTGACCTGACAAAATCAAAGAAAGGACTTGTAACTCAACCTGGGGGTTAACATCAATGACTCGTGACTTCACTTCCACTTGAGCCTTTTGACTTTAGAATACTACAGATTGAAAAGTAGGCTATATTATTTAAAAAATGTAAAACAAATCAATTTATTCTCCAGATCCACTTTGTTTGAACCAATATGACAGCATCCAGTCAAGTTGCAGGAGAGAAACATGAGGAACTTACGTTTCGTTACTGAATGCCAGCTCGAAAAAATTACATCAAAGATACTTTTGTTCACATATAAGAACTCCATGGCGGTCAACAAAAAACAAACTGCAGTATACAAAACGTGGGCTGAAAATTACAGATAGTGACGCAACAACTTTGGCAAAATAAGTGCAAATTTTAAAAGTATTCATGAGTTTTGTACATTTAATGTATGATTACTCTGTTATTAAAATAGCGAATGTAACGACATTTGGTAAAGAGCTCATTATGACTTGTCAGTCTTGACTTGGGACTTGACTGGAAAGACCTGAGACTGAAACAATGTCTCGGTCCCATCTCTTCAAAACAGTAAGTGATTAATATGCAGGAATTTCTTAAATGTTCTTTTGCTATTACCAAATTGTAGAGTTGATAAAATATGATATATTCCCAGAATAAAAGTCAGTCATACAATTACTCATAAAAGCCTGCGAACAATATGAAACCATAATATAATGTTCAGTTTCAAGGAGCAAATGTCCCTGAGAATTTAGGTTACTAAAATGCTTCGAAATTGATATCTGCACCAGAGAACAGAGGAGATTGGTATCATTTTTCTACGCCTTCATACGGCCCTCGAACCCCAATCAGTGCATCAGTGTTCTGTTAGAAATTCATTGAACAAATCCTCATAGACCATAAAAATGTATCCGTTAGCACTTTGAATCTTTATATTCCGCTGCTCTGATAGCAAAGAAATCCTGACATGTAAGATTAACCGCTGCTCAATAATAAAAAGACTTTATTTTGTTATCATTACGTTGTAGCTATTCCTGCCTTTCCAGTTTGATCTTTGCACAGTCTGAATACAATTACAATGTCAAGGTATCGAGCCATACGGTGGGTTTAAAATAGGACATTTAGGGTGTAAAATGAGAAGAGATGAGGACGGACACACACACACACACACACACACACACACACACCCCTTCCCACACAAAGGACAATCGTACATATGTCACCTTGCTTCAGTGACATTTCCTCTGAGAAAAGGTTATTCTTCTTACTCGTTATACACACCATATACTCCAAACACCCCTCTGCACACACACACACACACACACACACACACACACACATACATACACACAGACACACACATACGCACATAATGTATGTAGATGCATGAACACATACAGCAGCCCAGAGCACAAGGCACCCCCAATCTGCCACGCACCTACAGCCTCACTTCAACCAATCAGTTGCCAGTGTGAGCGCTCCTTTTTAATATTTGATGCTGACTGGTCATTTATGTGCAATAACCAGATACAGGAAGTACTTATATGACAGTGATTTATGATGTGGGTTGTTGGGGGGGTTACTACAATATTCTGTAACCTTGAAATGAGCCTGGCCTGGATTTGGGGGAACATCATTAAAATTCATCATGTAAACTGATTAACTCACATGGGGGTGTCATGATGATTGTCTGACACATGCATATTTCCTTATTAAATCTACAATTATACAGTCGAGCACAGCGGCCTCTGTTTTATTAAATTAAAAAACGCTAGCAGGAAAGCTCAAGAGATGACGGTGTAGGCATTTGCATCACATTAATCACTGGTAAACGTTCTGATTGCGTAACATCAGCATGTTAGCACTGTCACTGTAAGCAGGTTAGCGTTTAACTCAAAGCCCTGCTGTGCCACAGAGTGGATGAACTCACAGATGTTAGTGTGGCTATAGACTTTTATTCCTGTTATTATCTGTTTGGTTAGGACTGAATTAAAAAACTGCCTTCATGCACTCTGCTGGCTGTTTATGAAACTAGCTGCAAAAGGATTTAAAGCTTAAAAGTGCATGCAGGAGTCTCAATAAGGAGTCCATTTTGTTCTGGTCTGTTATGATATTTGACATTGATTGTGTTTTGCTTAATGTTCCGTTAAATATTTTTCTGCAACCATGTGTCTGCAGCTGCTCTCTAAGCCAGGTCATCTTGCCTTGATGACACAAACACGTTCACAAGATGAAAACAACACCACCCACTGGGACATTGTGGCTTCCAGTAATTAGTTTTAAAACACTGTACTCCTCTTTTTGCAGGAAGTTGCATCTCTAAATATTAACTAATAAATTTGAAGCATTTCAGGACATCAAAACAACCCATGCATAAACATGCTAATGCTAATCTTCGGATTTAATCAAATGAGCAGTGGACTGACCGATTCTCCTCACTTTTAGACAGTGAGTGCACAGTTAATTTATGCTAATGATAGTCATGCCCATGGGTGACTACTTAAAGATTTAACAAGGGTGACGCCAAGCAGCTGCAATGTCATGTTTCCTCATATTTTCCTATTAAATCTACAGTTCACAAACAGGATCATTTGTTTTAATTGTGGGTAAGCCAAGTAGGTCATTCAAGGTTTTACCAAGCATTGCATTGTGGATATAAAAACTAAAATCACATTTCTGTCATGTATTAAATAAATCAGCGAGTCTGAGTTAATCAATCATGGTGTTTCTCAGTCAGTCTGATAAATCTCTGACACTTGTTGGACTACAGCTCCCAGAGGGCTCAATGTGACCTTTGGCCTCTAGCTGCCTGTACAGAGTCTGACCCCAGCCCTGCTCTGTGTGTGAGTCAGTGTGTGAGAGAGTGCGAGTAGTTCAAGGTGACTCTGTTCCAGCTGCTGCTGCTGCTGCTGCTGCTGCTGCTGCCTTTTCCTTCCAGGCCACTTGCACAGTTCAGGTCAGATGTTCCTTTCGTGCACAGAACAGCTGTAGTTTCCTCTGAGCTTTGTATTTTTAGTCTTTTTTGACCAGATATGAAAACAAACATGGAAGAAATTGAAACGCTACATGTTTAGATGCTCATGTCTCAAACCTAAGGTGATGTTACCAGCACAGGAGTCATAACGTCTACTGAGTGCCAGCTTAGGTTTATTAGTCATGGCTGAGACACTCTTTATAGTTTGCTACTGTCAAGTTGTTTACTATTTAGTATACATAGATAATATAATGACTTATATGAGAAATTAAATATCGTGAAATCATCTCATCAAAACATCTAAGGGTCTGTGTCCACAGAGCATTTCTTTCTGAGTGCCAGTCATTTTTCAACTGTTCCCAACAAGGAGAGAGTGTATGCAGCTGCGGCCACCTCCAGAAAAGGTGCTGCACCCAGCACTCCACTTTTTTTTTGACTGCCGCTCTGAGCGCTTCAAGCTGAAAATCTCTTTTAAGTTTTTCAGAAAGGCACTGGTCTCATCATTGTCGCTCCTTTTCAGGCAACCAATCACAGAGGGCGGGACTTGTCACCTTTGTTATCAAGAAAACGGAGGAGAAGCTTGTTCTGGCCGTGTTTTTTTGAGCTATGTGGTATGTTGGACAAAAACTATCATTACAGAGACAGCTCATTCGTGGGAGCAGAGTGTTTTGCTTTTATCACCACACTGATACGGTGACATCTTGTTCAAGCATGTTAGCTGTGTAGTCATTCATCTGTTAATGTAGCATCATCAAAAAAGACACTGGGGGGCATCCAGTAGCTCAGTGGGTGGAGCAGGAGTCCCATGTACAAAGGCAATAACCTTGCTGCAGTGGCTGTGGGCTCGATTCCAGCCTGCAGCCCCCCTGCTGTGTGCGCCCCCTGCAAAGGACACTATTGAGTTCACGACCAAATAGTCAGAATTACTCAAAATGATAATGGCGCAAACCTACAGAGAATCTAACATGGTAAAAATGTAAGATTTTTCCTCAACCTTTCTTTAAAACTACTCTGTTTTGTATGTAACTGTTATCAGAGGGATGGTGGGATGCTCATGTGTTTTACACCGATATAATTGTAGGGCTTTGTGTTTCTGAATCATGTATTGATTGTAGTTCAATGAGGATTCAATTACATGTCGTCCCAAACAATGTTAAAGGTTTAACCCTTCACACACCTCCCACAGTCTGCCTGTATTCGTACCTTCTCTCTCTCTTTGACTGCTCATGTTATCTTTTGAATAACAAAAAAACTTTTTTCCTCTACGAGAGAAATACTAATATGAATACAAATTTAATTCAAATTACTGACAGAAACTGTAGCTGATATTCTCCTTGAAGCCAAACCGGTGGATGTATTCATTAATGTGATCATTAGGGCTGCTTTTCTCGTCTTTGTTTTCCATTGTATTGATCTCCCAAGAGCTCCAATGTGACTCATCTGGACCCAGCGACCGAGCATTTAATCAATATTTCAAATGCTTTGATTCTTGTGAAGAAAGGCTCTTCAAAGAGTATTAGATTAGGACTGACACTCGTTCGTGGCTCTGCAGAAGAAAGCAAGGATGGACGGGGTGATTCAGAGAAGACTAAACAACCAGGACAGGCAAGGACAAGAGGACAGAGGAACACACAAACACACGCAGAGAAAATGGAGAGAGTTGACAGGGCGATGGATGTGTTTGTGTTTGTGTGATCGACAGTACTCTCCAGACAAATCTAATTGTGATTTCAAATGTGATAACCTCTCTTTCAGCATCTCACGCACACAAAACGTGGAGCAGACAGCTGAGATAAGACTTTATAATAGTTGTGCCACACTGAAGGACACTAGACAATCAGTCACCTCTGACTGCTGCGTGTGTGTTACCTGACGTAAAGTGTGCGTTTCTGTGTGGAGCGGAGCGATGTGGAGCTGGAGCTGACACTGCTGGTCATCATCTGTTCCCTCAGGTCATGGATCTTCGCCTCGAAACGACTGTACTCTACACACACACACAAAGACAACACATGTTGTTAGACCCAGCAGACTTCAGGTGACAGTTTAAGAAATAACACTTGAACAAATTATCGAAATTATTATTTTAATTATTATTATTATCTATAAAGAATCTAATTTACAAGCTACCTGTTACTCCACATCAGAGGCAGCTGAGCCACACTGATTTTTTATGCTTCAATCATCTTTGCTCAGTAGTTCAGAAACCACATTTCAGTTCGTAGATCAAAGAGAGGAGCAGATGCATGAACAAACACGGCTTTAATGGTGGTGGAGGGTTTATACGCTGTGTTAACCTCATTTCCTACAAATGGCTTTAGTGCAACAAGTACAAGATGCATTCTGAGATGTGGTTAAATTTGCAAGAAGTTTGTTTTCCATGCTCAAGTGCAGAAAGGATTCTCTAAGTGTCTGACTCATGGGTGTAAGAAAATATTGATACTCCTGAGTATTGCAATATTATGTACTGTGGATACTGTGAAGAAATAGACGTAAAATATCGCAATACATCACCTTGCTTACAGTATCGCTGCACATCGCAATATATTGAATCATAACCCCTGTATTGTGATTCGTGTCAGATTCTTGCCAATACATCGCCCTAGCTGGACTCTCCTGCTTTATTACAGACACACACAAACTCACAGAGGTGCAGACGAAAGCGCTGAGCTGCCAACAGATTCTCTACAGCCATAATCTAATAGTCTGTTTGATCTGAATATTAACTCCTGTTACATCAGATGCGGTCCATGTCAATATCATCATAAACACACACACACACACACACACACACACACACACACACAGCAGGTCTGACTCAGATACACTACCTAAACTTTTAAAATCTGTGTTTACAAATCTCTTCATGCTGGATGTTTTGTTATGCATAAATACAGGTATTACATTTTTATTTATTTTTTAATTTATTAAGATAGATTCATCCTGCAGTGTCCATGGAAATGTGGTCTTTTATAAGTGGATCAGGTGTCACTAACTGGATAGGAGGAATTAGCATAGACTGAGGTTGCAATTGTGTAGGTAGATTTTCACGATGCATTAACTGTCTCAGAAAAGATTCACTGTACATTGTATTATACAGCTATATCAGTTTATATAATGACCCTTAAAGGAATGAAAACAGGGTTTTTTTTGGTTTAACAAACACTTCACTGAAACCTGAAACCATTTTTTCAACAGGAAAAGACATGTGTAAGAGATGTGCACTGTATAACCTTCGATTTTCATACCACGGTATACCGGCTTCACTACTGCAACTCTTGTGCAGGCTGTCTGGATTAACGGGCATAGCCACTGTGATGTCACCCATTGGTTTGTTGGCTACCATTCTGAAGTCTCAAGTTTGGAATTTTGGTTGTTACCATCTTGTTTTTTTGGAGCCAGAAGTGACCGCATTTGAACGAGAGGGTGGAGCTTTGCTAGCCTCTATTCTGACAGGTTGCCATAGCAGCTTGTCAGTTACAAGGTAGCCACACCTTAAATCATACCCTGCTTTATGGTCTACATAAAAACGAGAAATTGAGACCATAAATTCATTAGGAAAATGTCTACTGAGGTAATAAATTAAGCGGGAAGTAGGATCATTTGCTAAATGACTTCTACGCAATCTGACTTGTTTTGGCAACCAGTGGAGTCGCCCCCAGCTGGCTATTAGAAACAATGCCGGTTTAAGGCACTTCCGCATGGAGTCATTTTTTACACCCGAAGGCTACATCTACTTTTTTACATAGTTTAGTTGACTGGGAGCTTCCTGAAACAAAGAAGCCAGGTGCACAAAACTACTTGGGTCTGAACAGGCAGGAACCGTGCCTGTGTCTGTCCTACCTGATGTCAATGGGCTCAATACCAGATACAAATCTAAGATGTAGGCAGAGATTCTGAGGTCTGGAACGAGCTTATCAGTTTGTTTTTTGTCTCAATCATTTTCTTCTTCCCTCCTTTATCACTTTCTTCCTTCTGTTTAGTTTCATACATCTATCATACAACTAAAGTTCGGCTTCAGTCTCTTTTAAACATACTGTTGAACCACAATCTAAAACATATTTGAAAGTGAGTTTCTCTATGAGAAGTACTGACATAATACCGTTAACCCATGTAAATCCGTCATACATGTTGTGCTGTAGGTGGGAAACATGGGAGTCTGCTCTGAACACAAGCGTCACATTATACATGCACACTGAGTTCACACAGTGACGTTCAAGTGGCTCAGCGGTGGTGTGACATAGCATCATTGGAGCAGCAGTTATTAGTCAGTAAGCTCATATTTGCTCATTGACTGGAATGAAACTAACCCACTGGGAACACACAAAGCTGGAATCAAAACACAGCAACTGTCACACTTCTACCTACACATGCTAATTGATTTATTTCCCTCAAACCTGTCTTAATTCCACTTTCATAATGTATTTGCTGGTGTTACACAAATACAACAATGAATTTTCCAACAGAACTTTCAGTTTTTATTGCCAGGAACAACTGTTTCCCCGTCTCACTTGAATGACAAGTAGTAAATTGCGAGAGAGCAACCGGTTGGCCAATCAATGCAAAGTGCAATGATTTGCTCACACACTCAGCCGAGCAGCCCTGAGCTTTAGTATCCGCCTGCTACATGCAGCAAAAACACTTTAGTTTCTGACCCATTTTTGTTTTCAAGTGGTCATAAAAATGTCATTGTGCCTCTTTAATTATAAATGTACATTATTTATGGAAATGCACAGAGTGGAAAAACAAATGAGATTATGCATTCTTGAATGTGCATTCGTGGCTTTTAGGGGATCCTTCCAACAGGAAAACTGAAGTAAAAAAACAAAAAAACTTTTAACCAGCAGTTTGCTGTCTCTAAATGACAGTAAATTGAGATTGTTTTGATTCAAAGCAGCTGAACAAACAGCAAATAAGTATGTAATAAATCCTTACTGACTGTCCTCTGGTCTCCTTAACACCACACAGTTTCCCAGAAACCTCTGAACTAACACACGGATGACAACGCCGCTGGCAATAAGCCTGCAAAAGCCCTTCTGAAGGATGTCGCTGTCTGTGTGTGTGCGCATGTGTGTGTATGTGTGTGTGTCTGAACCATTACTGTGGACTACAGAATCTAATTAACCCTGAGTAATTCAGTCATACTCAAGATACACACGGTCACACACATACACAAAAACACACACACACACACACACACACACACACACACAGAATCTGCAGTATCTCCCGACTTTTCCAGTATTTCTCCCCATTTCTGTTTTCATTTCCTTGTTTACCTCTCTGCATACACACTCTGCTTCTCAACACTGTCAAGAACCAGCCTACAACACCCAGATCTCAACTCTGATTTCCCCCCAAGCGTCCATTAATCTGACACACTGATGCTCACAGACGTAAACAACTGAACTGTACTAAAACCGCTCAAAGCTACACACATCTGAAATCACTGAAATACTGAAGTAACGTGATCTCTCGTGCTTTTTTAGACACTGATGTTCTGAAAAAACAACTTAAATGGATTTATTGACAAGAAGATTGATGTTCTCAGTATTTAACTATAGCTACATGTACTGCTAAATTATAGATGCAGACAACAAGGCAACACTTCACGTGCAAGCACAACTGCCTCCAATCTCAGGATTGAAATACCCTTTTTCTGAGAATTTTAATTTCTTGCTTTAACCTTAAATATTTTCATCGCTGACCCCGGTACGGCATTTTCAATCTCAGCTGTAATCCATTACAAATTGACGGATTAACACTTCTATTCCTGTTCGTCTCACTGGAGTACACCACCGAGTGATCACACACACCGACATAACCAGATACTGTATGAACTTTCATCGGCATTATCACCTTTAACTGTCTCTGTCAACACACATCGCCTCAGTACAGCATCATGGGATTAAGAGGTGGAGAGAGAGACAGAGAGGAAGAGATACAACGAGACAGAATGAAGAGGAGGAGAGGGAGCAGATTGACTGTGACTGAGCTTGGATGTATTGCAGCAAAATTACATCTGATACAGTGGGATAAAGAATACAGGAAAAAGTTTACCTAAGAGAGGAAGTGTTGAAAAAACAGAGACAAAGACAGTAGTGTGATCTATAGGCAGTGTTAGAGCTACGATATTAGAGTCCTGAGTCCTGAGGAGAAAGACAAAACTGGCACATTCAAAGCTGCAGCTCTGATCATGACCAAAGCCACTGCTGAGAAGTCAGAGCAGCAGCTTTGATCGTCTTCTTACAAACTATATTCAGCATTTTCAGTTGAAGTATGAGAGAAAATAAGACAAAAAAGACTTTTACTAAGCCACCAATGTTTCTACATCACTGATAATTTCTTACACTGTGACCGTCATTAGACCAAAGACAGCGTAGGAGCCAACATGTTAATGCAGCATAACTGGTCATCAGAGGGATAACAGTGTCACCACATCATCTGTCTTTTTAAGTCCAATATTACTTTTAACATCATTCCCCAAAACACTCTCTGACAGTGTTACCCATCAACAGTGATGCCAGGTTGTTAGTCGAGGCAGGATGTTAACAAGTAAATCAGTTCAGGTCCGTCTCTCCCAACTCCTGCTCAGCTGTACTCACGTGCTGCTGGCAGACAGGCAGGCTCAACAACGTCCGCACGATACGATGCCGGTATGGTGGCTTTCGGTTGAGTGCGTGTGTGCGTGTGAGAGTGAGGTTTTACTGCTTACAGTCCCGGGATGTGAATGAGATGGAAAAACAGAGAGAGAGCAGATGTGTGTGTGTGTGTGTGTGTGTGTGTGTGTGTGTGTGTGATAATAAAAAAATCTAACGCCAGCTCCACATTGGATCCAGCATGTGAGCGAGCCGGAGCAGAAAGATGTGAATGTGTGTGTGTGTGTGTGAAAAGAATTGTGTGTAGGTATGCAGCACTGTGTGGCACACAGATGATGTGTGTGTGTGAGTGTGTGTAAAATCAGTCCAGTGTTGCTCAGCTGCCACG